TGTCTTTTTTTTTAAAGCAGATCTTGTGGTGAGGGGCATGACCCAGAGAGAGCTGATGTGGTTTTGCATGGATCATTTCTGATACTTCATTTACTGGCAGTTAATATAAGATCTTCAAGCAGTCATTCAGATAGAGACCTGAGCTGGTTCCACAGCAGGACTTTAAAACGAGGGCTCCAGAACCCACACTTTTTCTTTGGCTCTTTTATGCACAGTAGTGAATCTGCATTATTTGTAAAAGCATTTGTATCTGCCATTGTGCCCCAAAGTCCTTGCCTGTTCTGCCCCAAGCATGACGTATCAGGCATGGGGACAGTCTGGCACTGAGATAAAGAGGGATTCAGCCTATCTGAGTGAGAAATCCAGCTACAGCATCCGTCAGATCATCCCCTCGAGTCTATGGCATCACTTCAAAGATAAACAAATCCTTTGGTCTAGAAGTGCATGAAATTACTTGGCTGAAGGTGTCTCTAACTGGAAGGGTATTTTAAAAGTGAAAAACTCTGGAGCTTCAGGCACCCAAAAGTTCAGTGAAAGATCCTGTATTGTGCATGCTGACTGGCACAGCTGTCTCATGAAATGTAAGGTCTGTGTAGGTAAGCATTTTGTGAACAGACCTGAGCCCCAACCATCTGCTTCTAAATTTGTTTTATAGCCAGCAGACAAAAGTAGGTTTGTCTGCTCCTTCACCCATCCCACCAGCCTCGGCAGGAGAGCCTCTCAGCAAGCTTCATGCTTGCTTCATTTGTAATCTTAGATTTCCTTTAGGCAGGAGATAGGTGCCAGTGACTTGATTACAGCTACATCACCTCTGGGCGTGCAGAGTGACAAGAATTTTGTATCCACAAGTTTTGTAGTGAAACTGACGAAGTATAATTTCTGTTTAGAAAAAAAATGAAAGATCCAGAACCTGAGTCAATAATGTGCTTCCAATACTTTTCATACCTACCGTTACTGGCTGTGTTACCTTACAGTGTAGGACCTATAAACTAAAACTGCTCTGTGTAGAGCAGGGCAGATCAACTCCTGACTGCTCTGTGTGGGTAACACTAAGTGCCCATGTGCTTGCTGCACACGGCGTTCCTCATTTAGCCATGAGATAATTTGTTATAGGCTTAAAAAAGAACAATGTGCTCTGAAACGTGTTCCTCTGAAGTGCTGATAAGCAAAAGTTTTGTTTTTAACTGCAGCTTAAGATTGTTTTATGGGAAAGATTGAATTATGCTGTCTTGGTACCTTCTACCTGCTACTGCTCTTTAAAAAAAGTTATACTATTCTGACGTTCCAAAGCCACGTTTACCATGTGTTGATAGGGGTACCACTGGCAGCTGATGTGTCTAACTTTCCATGTCTGTTTACAATTTCAGGAGCACAGAAGTCATGAGTACTGTCTCAGGTACACGAAGTACAACAATCACTTTCACTGTCCGACCTGGAACCAGCCAGCCGATCACACTGCAGAGCAGGTCCCCAGACTATGACAGTAGGACCTCAGGAGCACGGCATGCTCCAAGCCCTGTGGTTTCACCAACAGAGATTAATAAAGACATCATGCCTGCTCCTCTGACTGCTTCTGCTTCAGCTTCATCTCCTTCTCCAACTCTGTCTGATGTATTTAGCCTACCCAGCCAGCCCCCCTCTGGGGACTTATTTGGCTTGACCACAGGGCGCAGCAGGTCTCCTTCTCCCTCAATATTACAACAGCCAATCTCAAATAAGCCTTTTACAACTAAGCCTGTCCACCTGTGGACTAAACCAGATGTGGCAGATTGGTTGGAAAGTCTAAACTTAGGTGAACACAAAGAAACATTTATGGACAATGAAATAGATGGCACTCATTTACCAAATCTACAAAAGGAAGATCTGATAGACCTTGGAGTGACTAGAGTTGGGCACAGAATGAACATAGAAAGAGCTCTGAAACAGCTGCTGGACAGATAAGAATAGCTATTTTGCCTCACAAACTTCTGTTGATAACTAGAGATGGGCTGGTACTGAAATACCCCAAATGCCTTGTCTGTCTGCGAGTGCCAGCAAAATTAGGGGGGAAAAATAAAACAGTTTAATTCCTGGTACTCAGGTAATGCAGACTATATGTTACACACCCAAATATAAATCTAAATGTGTTGCACGAGTGGGGCCATTTATTTCAAAGTTGTGGGGAGATACAAGAGAGAGAGAGAGAAAATTGTTAACTTCAAAAATATTACCATCTATTGATGCTGCCCTTCTCCTGGAACCATTACAGACCAGTTTTCTTTTAACTTCAAATTGTAAGCTTTTTTTTTTCTCCTTAATTGAAAAGCACTGTATTCTCTTCTTGACATTCATTCAGACTCCCAGCAGGTTTCCTTTCTGAAATCTTAGTTTATTTAAAGAGGACAGATTGCTTCATTACCATTCAAATCCATTTTTGTTAGCAGAGGTACAATATTGAGACAGGTACAGGAGTTCATATAACTGTTTTTTTACGAAGTTTAGCTCTCCGATTTGTTGGCAGAGAAGCTGGTTGTTCTGCTGGAATTAGCTCAAAGGTAACCTTGCTCTGTTTTACCTGGTATTTCTTTATTTCTGCAGTTATACTTAGCACTCTTCCAAGGTGGCAGAACAAGTTCAATACATGCTCCATTGACGTGACCTGTAAGACGATGCAGATATTTCATAAAAGCTGAGAAGGAATGCTCACTTAGAGGTACAACAAAATGAAGCTAGTTTCAACCTGAGACCCCCAGTTTTCAACCAGCTAAACTACTGCTAAGTCGCAATGTGAACTCTGCAAACCAGAAAAAAAAATTGGGTTTATGTACAGCTGCATCTTCAGGACTTCACAGTCAGATATCAAATACGCTGACCCCTGAGTGATATTGTCTAATCCAGTGAGTGAGAAGTACTTAGATATTTTGAACATCGAGCCAAGAAAGATTAAGTAGATGAATGTTCCCATTGAAGTCAACGAGAAGGTTGCCAGTATTTTAAGTAAGAGAGGAATTTCAAGCTGTTAGCAGAAATAGAAATAGTTTATGTTGCTTAAAAAGAAAAAAGAAAAGAAAAAAAAAAGAGAAAGCTAATGCCGAGATAGACCAAGGTATGTAGTGTCCCAGAGCATATGTGCTTAAGGGGCAAGGGAAGTAGTAGCTATCCGGTTTCTCGTTTTTATTGCTATTAACAAGTATGGGCTCCTGGACCAGAAGAGCAGAGTGAGCACCTCCTGGGGGGCTGAACGCTTCCCATGGCCACCCGTGATTGCTGTGCAGGTGGCAGTGAGCACGCCCTGCTCTGGGCCGGAGCTTCCAGGAGACCTCGGCAGCAGGGGGAGCACACATTTGGTCAGTCTGACTATTTCATTTTTTTATTTGTTTTAAGTTAACAAGTCTCTCTCTGCATGTTTGACCTCCCCTTGTAATTAACACCTCTAAATATCTGTGAGTTTTGTAGGTCTTTATTAACATAATACTCAAGATGTTCAAGGTGGATAAATTGTGTGTGGATGGCTAGACTGCCTACCTACCATACTTTCAGGTTCTCTTACATTTTGCAGGATACCTGAACTTTCTTTCCTTGATATGTTCCTTGATATGGTCCAGCCTATCTCTAATTTTTTTATTGTGATTATTTTTGCTCACAAACAAGTGTCTAATTAGGTCTGCAACAGCCCTAGTATGAGTACATAAAGTTTAGCATTTTAAATATCTTTCTTTACTGCAAGTTTAAATAGTTGTACAGATAGTTTATAAGCACAATATTTTAAGAAAATAAGTGGCTGGTCTACTGGGCAGCCTTTGTGCCACTTCAGTGCTAGAAAGTGAAAAACAACAAAAAAAAAAACTTTTGTGGTTTAATACTATTTCTGTGGAATAATTATAAAGTCTTGACCTTTTTAAAATCAACCTCATTTGGATGCATCTGAACCAGCAGAGCTGTGTTATATTTTCTATCTTTGCTAGAACTTCTACAAAGGAGGATGAATATTTCTTCAAAAGTGGTTATAGTTACCAACGCATTGGATACTCACAAAAAGCAACTTATTTAGCCTCCTGCCCCCTTTACGGAACAACAAGTCCTTTGACTTAACATCTGTTACTACGCTATATTTGTATTTGAAAGTTCCAAGTAACCTTGTAATAAAAACCAAGTACTAAGGTGTTTTACTTCCAAAAGTACTGCATTTTTCCATAGGTGGTGTAGAAGATGACAGTCTCATTCAGATAGTCAACACAGACAACTTGAGGCCATCAGATACTTTCAGAAGTGTACAAATGGTAATTTAGCCATCATTGTCTTCCATTTGGTGATACGACAGAATTCAGTAAATAAACCACTAATGCCATGCTCTTTTTTTTTTTTTTTTTTTTTTTTTTTTTTTTTTTTTTTTTTTTT